GTTCCTAGTTTTCAGAGAGCGAATGGAAAAAGCTCTTTTCCGTGAAGCACTTTAAATTCCAAGACGGAAGAAATAGAGGATGGACTGACAGAAATAGAGGATGTTGCACGTTGAATAATTATATATACGCTCGTGGAGACGAGAGCCACTTCTACTTTGATCGAGCCTGTTTCGTTGTTCGAGGAATCGAACGAGATAAAGACAGGAGAAAACGTGCATTTATTCAGACTGGTTAATTGGATAGTATTTTTAAATTTTTCTCTCTCTTTCTCTCTCTCTCTCTCTCTCCTTTGGAAGTTTTCGTTACGTCGACGTGGGTGACGTATCTGTCAGTAGAGGCTAATCTTATACAGCGAATGGTATTAAAAGTTTCATCTGGTTCCAGGTATATTTGGTCCGACTGTACGTTGCTCCAAATTTATATTGTGCTAATTATACCTTGGGACGCTGCTCTAACGTATGGTTTGTCACCTTACGAGAAACGAGCGAACGATGGTAACTAAACTCCTCGATATTCCAGATTCAGATTTGTGCACTCCGATAAATTCAACTGAAAAGAAAAGTGCTCGTACAAGAGTGTGATAGTTGATCGATTATTATTATTATTATTATTATTGATCTTTTTTAAATAATTAATCAGTGCTTGGAAAAACTTAAGAAAAACTTGACTCCTCTACTATACAAGAGTCTATTTTATAATCTCGATACGTAATATCGATACGACGAGAGATTCTGAAATCGCTTGAACCACGGTATAACACTGATGCTGAAAATAGATGACGGAGACGCAGTATCGCAGAATTGCCGTCTTTCCGCGAACAACATATGTAATATATGTACGGATTTGTGAAATACTCTCCGAAAATATTTTCGTTCGCATCGAGGGCGTTCGATCAATTTTTATAACAAATTACGTAATAAAAAGTGGCGAAAACGGATCGTCGAATAGTATGAATGTGTAATAAAATTCAACGGTAACAACGGAAAGAAGTAGAAGTGGTGCTTCCATCTTTCGCGAAATCGATCGACCGTTCGAATGTGCAGCGGAACGACACTGAGAAAGGAACGAGGGATTTTCTTCGCGAGGGAGGCGAAAAACAGTTCTGCGAATGGATCTTCGCAACGAAACCGATTAAACGCTCGGGACGATGATGTTTTGCGGTGGATAACAGCGTGGAGAAGGTTGAAAAAAAAGGTACGACATGTACGGGCGTCAAGGCGATTCGAGTAACGCGCAACCACCATGGTCGGTGCGTGCAGAAGTTACGATTCGCCATAGTACACCGGTAACTTCGGAATCTAGCCAAACACCCGTAGGTATATCATCGACTGTCACGGATTCGGGCGGTGTTCGTATGATATATCGATGGAATACTACCAGTCAATCGTCTCCATCGCCGACGATCCCAGTCATCACAACTTCCGGGCCATCCGTGTCTTCTGGCTCGTTTGGCTTTCAACGAGGAAACATATTGTTCACTTCGACGCCACCACCAAAATCCACGCAAGGATCTTTCACGATTCCAAGATCAGGATCGTCTGGAAACGATGAGCATACGCCATCTAGAGGACGTGGCGCGAACTTCTCGGATTCGGGCTACAACAGTGAGCGATTTTCACCTAATTCGTACTCTAGTTTGCCTGTTCGTCGACCTTCCCAACAATATAATCGTCGATGCAGGAGCACGTGCAGTATTGTACTGTCCGCTGTGGATGGTTCAAAGGAAGAAAACTACAGCAAAGTAACCAGCAATGAAACCGTTAAGCATTCGTATGACAATTCTTGGCGCCATCCCTCGGCGTACGTTTTCTCGCGGCAACAATTCACCACAGTACCGGAAGTTTGCGAGGACTGCCCGGAGGATGGCGCTTCCAGTGCGCATGGAACGCATTTTTGCAGTAGCGTAAAAGAGGAAGTTACGACGAAGTCGACCACGGTCAGCAAAGATGCATCTTCGCAAACGACGGATATAGAATCCCGAGAATCTTCGTCGATGGTCGCTGACAAGAACAAAGTGAGGAGGAGAGCTGCTACTGGTCTCCGTTCATTGGACGAGCAGAAGAAGAAGAAGGTAAATTGTTTTCTTTAGTCAGTTTACAATCGATCTCAAGTCGAAAGTTCTAAGTATTGTTAAAATTCAGCCAAATCCTTCGAAAGAGATAGTATTTATTGTTCATCTTCATCATCAACTAACTCTGTTCAAATAACTGGAATCGTGTGAAAACCGATGGCCTTTTTCATCGATTAATCCTAAATTTTTCGACTTAAGATCTGTTGTAGATCGACCAAGTTTTATTTCTACGCGATTATTTCTAAACGAACAATTTTATATCGCGAATATCTGATTTTAGCCAGAAAGTCGGTCGGCAACCACAGCTTCAGAGACCACAAGCATCGGTCCTTCGGCGGAATCGGAAAAGTCTGATTCCTCGACGAAAGATGACAGCGCGAAGAGGAAATCACGAACCGTGCATATCGACGTGTATTGCACCGGGTCCGATGACGACGAGAATGTCGATACATCGAGTGAAAACGAATGCGAAACTCCTATGACCGTGTTCGAAAATCCAGACGTGAAAGTGACGCATACTCGGGTAGCGGGTAACGTTTTGCCCAGGGGATATCAAGATGACAAAGCTTTTCTGAAACGTGCCACGGAACGACGATGCGACAGCTTTAAACACGCACCGATGAGAATGCCCTCTATAGCCAGTTCAAAAGGTTATGATAGCGACGATGTTTTCAGCTCACTTTATCCTTCGCAATTTAGTTCGTACAGCGCCTTGAGAGATCCTGATTCGGCGCCTTGGTCTGCCGCGTCTTCAAACGTGGGTATTCCATTCGATTATGATTCGACTATTGCTACCTCGGCCAAAGATACATTTTCTGACATAGAATCTTTGATAAACGCTAAAACAGACTTAACCCGTTGTGACAGTTTCGAGTATGCTAGTAGCACCGATCGTGAAAGGATACGCAGGATGGAGGAAATATGGGCAAAGACGGAGGACAAAGAGAAGTATTGGCGTTCACCTCAAATCGAGCGTAAACATTTGTTACGGAATCGAAAGATGAGAGAATATTTGAAAAAACACGAGGCAGGATGGTCGTCGGGTGACAGTGACGTGGAATCTGACGAGAGCGGTGCAATTGGATGGAGTTTTGTGTCCGGCAAGGAAAATCAAGAAGGAATTAAAAAAACTTCGTCCGTTCGAAGAGCGAGTAAATCTATCGCTGAAGATGGGGAACTTTCAAAGCAAAAGAATTCGCAGCAGTATCATTCTGATTCAACGCGTAGCGACAGTATCCCTCATCTTTATACTTTTCGTGATCAATTCGGTTCCAAGACTCCTTCCCCTCTTCCATCAAAAGTACCTTCGAGAGTCACTTCTCCATTTATGACGCCTCAGGGTGAAAGAACCGACCATATTTTAAAAGCCTCTATATTCGGCACAGTGGTGAACGCATTTCGAAAGCCAGGCCATCATATAGGACCTTCCAAGAATCCTTCGTGTTCCTGCGAGCATTGTCAAAGATATTTCGAGGAATTGAATTCACGGGAACGTTCGCGTTCTATAAGCGATTTCGAACGACAAACAGGATTTCGTTTAAGGAATGAGAAAAGGATATTTCGTCCGATCCCGAAAAATGACAATTCTTAAGACTTGATATTTCATTAATATGTTTTTGAAGGTTTTTTTTTTTTTTAAATAATAGTATATATGTTTCACGATGAAAATTCATTGAAAATATGATGAGGGTTGTGTTTTGTAATATATAAACGTGTGTTAAGTTATATTTATTGAGTACAATATTCCATACTCATTATCTTTTTCTATTTATGATTGTTATAAATTGCTAAAACATTCTGCTGAATATAAAGCATTTATATAAGCTAACAAATAAATACATAATTATTTATGCTGTTAATGCTGTTAATAAATGTTGATTATATTAGTAATCACACTTGAAATCAATTATTCCTATCATTGTAAAAATTTATTCGAGATTTACGTTTCGCTTTTTTATCATCTTTTGAATTACTTTAGGCTCAAGCAAGTCTTGCAGAATCGAGTAGAAAGTTGGATCTGCTGAGATTATCCCTTGAACTCAGAAGACAAGAATTACCACCTGACAGTGGTACTGCTGCTCAATTGAAGAGAGAATTGGCTAGTGTGCAATCGGCTAGCCCGGTTCCTGTGACTTACACGTCGTTACAACCATTTCGTGGCCCTTTGGAGGGTAAAGCTACGGTGCCTGCTTCGGTTTCAAGATGTGCTGCCGTCACAGGACAATTAGAGGTGACAAAAATTTGAATAATGATAATCTCGTGTAATCTTTATGCGATGATAAATGATGGATATATTTACTTGAAATTTTAGGTAAGGTTAATGGGATGTCAAGACTTGGCGGAAGAAGTGCCTGGTCGCACAAGAAGAGAACATCCAGCAAGTCCAGATCTACGCAGTTTTGTTAAAGGGGTTACAGGACGTAGTTCGAGCAAATCGTATAGTGTTAAAGATGAAACAAGTAGTGAGCATTTTTTTTTTTTTGCAAATATTATGAAATTACATTAGGAATTGAATATTAAAATTAATTTCTCTTTTGTTTGTTACAGATGATATTATGGCAGTTATTAAACTGGACAACCAAACAGTAGGACAAACCAGTTGGCGACCGTGTTCTCAACAAGCTTGGGATCAAAGGTATTTCTTTATTGTATGCAATATTATTTTTTTTGTGAGAGGTATCATCTTTATATGTTATCATTTTATAATAAAGAGAGTACAAATATATCAAAATATATGCCTACGTTGTTTTTCTAGGTTTTCCATCGAACTAGATAAGTCGAGAGAACTTGAAATAGGCATTTATTGGAAAGATTGGAGATCTCTTTGTGCTATAAAATTTTTACGTTTAGAAGAGTTTATCGATGATGTTAGGCACGGAATGGCTTTGCAATTGGAACCGCAAGGTCTTCTCTTCGCGGAAATTAAATTCTTGAACCCTATGATTTCAAGAAAACCTAAATTACAACGTCAACGCAAAATCTTTAAACAACAAGTGAAAAATTTCCCAAGAGCTAATCAAATGAACATCAATGTTGCAACTTGGGGTAGACTTTTAAAACGATCGGCAGCTCCTTCATTGCACAATTCAAGAAATTCTGAAAGCCCACCATCAGGTACGATTATATATTCTTGATTGTGTTCTTTACACAAATTTTAACGTTGTACAAATTTTTATTTGTAGGACCGCAACCTTTACAACTAGTTTTTGATACCTCGGTAGAAGATAAACCGGAAACACCTGGAGAGTTACCTGATCCGGAGAAAGGAGGCTTAGGAGGCGCTAGACCATTAGGATTATCAACTTCTAGTAGTAGTCCTACATTACCACGTCCTCCAGAACACCCACCACCTCCACCACCTACAATTACAAAAAAACCTTCAATGCCCGCACCTCCACCACCACCAAAATTAGATCAAGAAGTAAGTCGTACGAAATTCATATTATCTTTTACAATTCAATTTTTTTTTCTTTTTGTTATATTTATCAAAGTGTTATATAGAAGAGAGAAGTTTTACATTATATTTTGAACCTTCTTAGCGATATCATAATTATCCATCTTGTTATAAAGTATTTTGAAACTATCTAGTATTTTCTTTTATTTGAGAGGTTTAGGGTTTGGTACACTGGTTATGGGTAAAAATCATGTAGAACACATACAATATATTATACATAGATAGTTGAGTCGATATACTGGCTAATGTTTGTACATAGTATTATACATTTTATCAAGGCATGTTAGAATACTTGATATACTGTCAATTGCGTAAGATATTGCTTCGAAGATAGCTAAAAATATATCTTTTTAATAGTAGAACGCGATTTATAAAAAGGCAATTTTTTATATGCTTAAAATATACAAATCTTTTATTCATTTTTTTCTTTTTTTTTTCTCTTTTTTTGTGTTTAAATTTATATTATATTTTTAATTCTTAGCTTTTTTTATGCATAGTTGTTTCCACAATATTTGGCACCAATATGCAATGCAATATGTAATGTGCATTGTGCAATATATAGTATCCCTTCAACAAATTTGCAGCAAACTCCCTTCAATAACTGAATCAATTTATTTTCTCAAATTTATAATATCAATTCACAATATCTAATTCTTAATTCTATTACATAAGACTTTGGTACGTTACAGTTTGAAATATATTGCAATCTAAAGTAGCTTTTAGAGCTAAGCAGATAGTGATGTAGTTACAGAGTGCATTAAGGGAGTTTGATTTCCTGCACAACGAAGAAAAGGGGGGTCTTCAGGGGGCAAATTTGAGGCCTCTTGTAACAGAGCCTCGTCCTGTGCTGATTGCACCACCCTCTCCGCGCACACCCTCGCCCCAACCCGTCGTCGAGTTTCCTGAAGATGAGGTATATACCTCCAATACACACAGCTTTATTTATTTACGTGATTTTAATTTTTATGCTTCTTTATTACTAACATATTGAATATAAAATTGTTTTTTTAAGTTATTGTAATTTTTTTTTTTATTAAAGTAACTTATTTTTTTATTATTTTAATGGTTTTCTCATTAAAAGCATGTAATCAATTTTTTTCGCATGATCGTATATGCATATTATGTATCAAGGCTTTATAATACTAAACTTGTAAATAACTATGTACTTTGTATGTTACATATCTATATCTTGGCCATTAATGGCGCAATATTTCATTATTCAACAGTTTTAGGTTTTTTTTTCTCTTAAGATAGAAAAATATTAAATATAAAACATATTTTTAAAAAAAAATACATTAATAATGTATTTGTATTGGATTAAAATTATTATTATTATTATTAACAAATATCCAACGTATATGTATATGATAATTAAATAACAGCTTTCCATACTATCAATTAATATAAAAATAAATAATATAAATGTGCAGTCATTATCTTATGATAAACACGATATTTCAAGCTGAACATTTTAATGATTATAGGTTGTATACGAAATGCCGAATAAGCCTTCTCAATACAGAGACAGTGCCTACGAATCTAGAAGACATTCGCAACTTACTGGAATGACCATAGATAATTTTAGACTACTCTCTGTTCTTGGCCGCGGTCATTTCGGAAAAGTAATTCTATCGCAATATAGAAATACAGGAGAATACTTCGCAATAAAAGCGTTAAAAAAAGGAGACATAATAGCGAGAGATGAAGTAGAATCTTTACTTTCAGAGAAGAGAATATTTGAAGTCGCCAATGCTACACGTCATCCTTTCCTTGTAAATCTTTTTGCTTGTTTTCAAACTGAGGTATATATATATATATATATCTTTTTAATTATTTTTAATAATTAAATTTTTTTATCAAAATATCAATATTAAATTTTTATTTCTATAGGCACATGTGTGCTTTGTAATGGAATATGCAGCTGGAGGAGATCTTATGATGCATATACACGCGGATGTGTTTGGAGAGCCACGAGCTGTATTTTATTCAGCTTGTGTTGTATTAGGGTTGCAATATTTGCATGAAAGTCGAATTATTTATCGGTAGATATTTAAATAATCATATGATTAATTTATGTCAAATATGTAATGACGATAATTTCGTTCAATTTACAGAGATTTGAAATTAGATAATTTACTATTGGATACAGAAGGATATGTAAAAATTGCGGATTTCGGTTTGTGCAAAGAGGGAATGGGATATGGAGATAGAACAGGAACATTTTGTGGTACTCCAGAATTTTTAGCTCCTGAAGTGCTTACTGAAACATCATATACACGGGCAGTTGATTGGTGGGGTCTTGGTGTATTAATATTTGAAATGCTTGTTGGTGAAGTAAGTAATATCCAATTTAATTTTTTTTTTTAATTATATGTTATAATCACTAATATTAATTATTATCTTTTTATATAGTCACCATTTCCTGGCGATGATGAAGAAGAAGTATTTGATTCCATTGTGAATGATGAAGTTCGTTATCCGCGATTTCTTTCTTTAGAAGCAATTGCGATAATGCGGAGGGTAAAATATTAATTTCTTAAATATATATAAATATATAAATATTTGAAATAATATTGAATAATATTGAAATAATTTTTCTTATTTATTTTCTTATTTATTAAATATAGTTATTAAGAAAAAATCCTGATAGAAGATTAGGTAGTAGTGAAAGAGATGCAGAAGATGTTAAGAAACAAGCATTCTTTAGGCATATAGCTTGGGATGATTTACTTCTAAGACGTGTAAAACCACCATTTGTTCCAGTAATTGTAAGTATTAATTGTGTTTAGTTGTTTTTTTATGTTGATTGGAATATTCAATAAATATTATACTAGTAATATATTTGTATTTGTATTTCAGCATTCTGTGGAAGATGTTAGTAATTTTGATGAAGAATTTACATCAGAAAAACCTCAATTAACTCCACCTAAAGATCCTAGACCACTTAGTGATTTAGAACAAAGTTTATTTAAAGATTTTACGTATATGGCTGATTGGTGCTAGCCATAATTATGTTAATCATCTTTTTGTTAAATTTGATACGCAAATTATTTAGCGTTTTAATATATTTTCAATTTTAGGGGCAATCAAATTGCAATTAATAATACCGATGATTATATATTATTTGTTTAATTTTCAAAATATGTTCCACATTTCATAATGTTATGTATTGTACAGATGTTTTATTTTTAATATCATGATATAATCAGACATATAGAATTAAAAAAATTATGTTCACAACAACATACGAATCTCAGGTTTTTAACTAATATGTATGAATGTCAGATTAACTTGTAGTTATACATTTATCACAATTGTTTCCAATATATAAATAATTATAATTATTTGACACACTTGAAGTAATCAAGTGGAAGATCAGCAGTAAAACATAAATTGTATAAGCACTTTTATAGTATGTTCATATTTTGATACAAAAAACTACAGTTTGGAACCGAAAATTTATAAAGATTTATATCATTTAATTATAAATCATTAGATCTCATAATAATGATTCAAAATATTGACCAAATATTCGAAGGAATATCTATTTGAAATTTTGACTACTTTTACTTAGTACATTCATTTTTATGTATAGTAATTGTTTTACAATTATTCTACGATTATTCATTTAAAATAAAGGATATTTACTGTATAAAAATATGATTCATAAAATGCAGAAAATAAATCAAAACATAGTTGTATTAGGTGTTTGAAAAAGTTTTAACAAATTCCATTATAAGTAGATTGCATTATTTTACAAAAAAATCAAATCAAAAACCATGATTATATAATTGATTTCTTTTTTTGTAAAATAACTATTTACTTATAATGAAATACAAAACTTTTAAATGCACTTAATATTTGCTCATGCTCATGTGATAATGAATTGAATGAAGAAATGGCACTATGTATAACAGTGTTGATCTATATAATCACAAAAAAACACTGGGCGCTTTAATTATATTAGTCATGTGTACCTAATCATTAATATGACCAGAAATTAAGACCAGTTATTACATTTAATTTGACAATTTAACTATATCAACTTTTCTTAATCAACAACTCTTGCAGGTTTAATTCCTATAATCTCCTTTATCCATTTGTATGCATTACTTAGTTACTTATTTTCATATTTTCAGTATGTGATAGAATACTTGTGGTGTTCTAGTGCTATACCTTGTAAATATATAACCAAACATTGAAAAGTAATAATTCATAAGATTTATAAATACAAGATAGTTTAGTTTGATATCCAACACTGTGTCAGGCGTAATATCTCAAGTTCATATTTAGCATACTGTTAATAATTATATTTACATTTTAATCTAAACATCACTACAATTTACTCATATTTTTTAAATATATTTTTGGTTTTGTGAATGAGTATGAATATCTTATACAATCATCACAAATGTATACATTATATGTTACTTATATTTGATAGTGTTTTGTACTAACATTATATCGATGTCATTTTAGAAATTCTTTCTTTCATATTATATTGGAGCTTATTTAAAACAGTAAATTTATTATTTCCGCATAAATTATTTTCAAAAATATCAATAACAGTATATAATACATTATTTAACATTAAGAATCATATGCATATAATAGTAATTTATCCTGTAACAATATTATTAATTCATCAAGTTTGTTCATTTAATAGTTGATATGCAAATGTATAAAAGAATTTTTTAAATGGAACCTATTACAGTATTTTTAAAATTATTTATAAATTTAAATTATACTTTTGTAAAACAATATTTGTTTAAAATAAATCTGAAAAAGAATAATATAAATGGCTGATTATTTAATGATTAGATTACTGTGATAGCAATATCAAATGGTTTCATTTGAAATTTTCTTATATTTTAATTTTAGTCATATAAGCTTGAAATCATTAATCATATTCTTAAAAACAGTATTCAAAATTGTAAAACAAAAAACTAATCATGTCATTTGTGATAGTTTCGAGTACATCTCGAATTCTAGTTGCCTTAATGCACTAATAAATTAATAACTGTTTGGTAACTATTTTATACAGAGACCTTGTGTATTAGAAATGAAAACCTTTACAAAGGTGCTCATGTAACACATTATTCCTAATGTGCCTGTTTTTATACAGTTCTCATATTAGTAGATCTTAAAATCTAATTAAATAATTATGATACATGATTTTAGTTAAAATATATACAAACATATATCTTTACATTGTATAAACATGGACAAGAAAATATGGGAAAATATAGGAACATTGGGATGTTTATCTTCATTGTCTATTAAATATTTCTATTTAAATAAAAATAAAATATTATAAATTGGATTAAATTTTCAAAAAATTCGTAATAAAAATAAAAAAAAAGTATACTGTTTCGTTAAAAGTTAAAGAAAATGTTTATTTTTGTATTTTATATGTAAAAACATTATATTCTCATGTGTTGAACTGCCAAGCAACACACTTCAATAAAAAATAAGTCACTTTTTATTAATCAATATTTTCTTGTCAATATATATTAATGATATACTCTATAATATTTAAGACATATATATATACATATACATATACATAAATGGTAAATATATATATATATTATATATATTATAACGTTAAAAAAATATTACATTAAGATGTATACATAAGTAGCTTTTATGGAAGCGACGTTCTTTATATATACTACGACGTTAAAAATGAAGTGCGTCCAAAAAATACTAATTCAAAGATGTATATGTATGATACAAGTGTCGTAAATTTTTTTGTAGATAGATTTATTTTGAAAACTCAAAGTAGATTTGTTAAAATATACTTTCGTTACGTATTTTTATACATACAAAATATCGTAACACTATTAAGTTTTAACCTTAGTTTAGATTGTTTAAAATATTTATCTGTAGTTAAAAATAATGAAACAGCATGTGCCTCATACTTGCAGTGTTTACTAAATCATAGATAGTCTGACACGATAGAAAATGCTTATAATATATCATTAAGCAATAATTTATTTAATATTCACATTTGCAAATGGCAGCTTAATACATATCATTTTAAGTAATTATATATTTTTAGTAGCACTTCTAAACTTTACACATTTTAAATATATAAATAATAATTACTTTTAAATATATAAATAATAAACATTTAAAAGAAATATGACAATTTCATATTTTTTTAATCCTTTTTGAAAAATTTGATAGAATTAAAATATGAAGATTAAATAAAGTAATAAAATAAATTTTATTATTTGTTATTTTATCATTATGACTTATATCAGAATCCGTTATTTTATTATTATGGCTTACATCACTATCTTTATTAATATCTTTATTAATATCTTTATCTAAAGATTTGGCTAATTCATATAAATAAGAAGTATTTTTTCTTATTCTTTTTCTAAATTTAACTTTTTTTCTTCTTTTTCTTTCATCAATTTAGTTGTTTCTGGATCAATGGGTTTCACAAGACCTTTAGAAGCTTTATAAATAATGCTTGTGCTGTCTTCAAGTTTAAAAACAAAAGTTATCCTATTAGAAAATATGTAAATCAATTTATGGATTATACAATTAATGATTATACAACTCTTAAGTTTTATTATCTATAATTTTTATTCTTACTGTTCAACATTTAAACCTTCTTGTATCTTCTCTATTGTTTTAAGAGAAATATTACACGATGTGGGCCAAGGTACATATATTTCTGTTTGAGAAGTTTTATTTTTTTTTACTTCTAAATATAATAAATCTAAATTTTCATTATATTTGTAATCAACTTCCCAATATCTCTTTGCTAAATATAAGTAATAATTATTAGTGATATTAATTTGTAAATTATATTTTAATCTTATTTAATTACCTTCGCATAGCTCAATGTAAACATAAAATGTTGTGCTTATTTTTACAGGATCAGTGCAGCCTAATTTTCCAATATGATAATACTAATAATATTAAAATAAATTAGTTTTAAATTATTATATTTGAAAATTATTTAAATATTATTATACTTACACTAGGATGACATATATCATACATGATTAATAAAAAATAATTTTTGTTGGAAAAATAACTTTCTTTTTATATGAAAAAAATATGAAATATCTATATTATATTAATATATAATTAAACAACGATTTTAATCTACATATTTCAGATTCAAAAATAATATTTTCATTTGAATAGAATATAAAATAAAAAATATTATTTTATATAAGGTTAAATTTCTAAAATTAGTTTAAATTTACACTATACATACTTGATATTTATACATAAAGAAAAATTTATTAATACAATATATGAAAAATGAAATAAAGTTTAATAATGAGATAATAGTTAATAAAATTTCAATATTTTATACACATAACACACAAGATTTATGTAGTACAAATATAATATACATGAATTTTGATATCATATACTAGACTAGATATAACCATAGATTAGATATAAAATAGATATATCATTCAATACTTTTTTGTATCATTCAATATGTAAAAATTAAGAATAAAAGTTTATAAATACAAATAAAAATATTTTCAGAATGATAAATTTCAATAAATTAAAATATTATTAAATTACTTTTAAAATTAATAAATTATTAGTAATAAAAAATTTATTAATAAGTTTAATTATAATATTATAAATTATTATATTATATTAATAAATTATAAAGTTAATAAAATATTAAAAGAATATTGAAAATTATAATATTTTAATAATTATATATTTTAAAAGTCGTCTACAGACAACTATTTACACCGTTATCGATACAGTAGTCGACACGTAACCTTGTACGCTAAGTTATAGTTACGGAGTGGGGAGACGCTACGCGCCAATTCTACTTTAACCGCGGTAGTGTTTAGACGTAGTGGAGCCATGTTACATTTATATATAATTTATATGCGTATAAACTTCGCGTTTAAAAAATATATGTTTATTTACGAGTATGATAATTAATTCCATTTATTCATCTACATATTACATCATATTTATTGAAAAATAAAAAATTTTTATTGCATCTTTCCTGATTGGTGTATTATCTACAAAAGATAAGTTGTATGTTTTTTAATTTGATGATTGATTTATTATTTAGATATCCAGAGGGCATAATAATAGAGATATTTCGATATTCGTGTATACTATACTAACTTATTTTTTTATTTATTTTGTAATTTAGTATATTTTTATTTAATTAATAATTTTTTAAAAATTTTGATAACGAAATTAATAATTAAAAAATTTTTTTGTATTCTTTTCTTCAATTCTAGTCAATCTATCTAAGGTTAAGGTTATCGGTAACTTTTATTATATTATAAACTTTTTAGTCAAGATTTCAATTCAATTATTGCTTTATTTTATTATTATTTTAATTATATACATTTATTATACAATTTTAATTTTTATTTAAGGGATTATTGTTCAATTGCACACATATTATTTCGAGGAAATAATGATTTATTATATGCATTATCATGGACGATTTTCTTGTATCAGGTAATATTTTACTTCGTTTTTACAAAAATAGATATATTTAGAATTTTACTCTTTCTTTATTTGTATTGAAACGAGTATATAATAATTAATTTTATTTTAAATTAAATTATTTCAGTGATACATTCTTGTTTTAAATGCACTTCTTTATATTATTTGTATATATAAATGTTTTTTTCTTTGATTGTGTTTTACTCGAAGTTGAAAATATTTCTTATAATTCAATTTTTTGACAAAAAATTAAATATTTGTGTTCGTGTTCGACATGTTTCGATTTGTTTTTAAGCTATCTAACATGTCTTCTCTCCTAATTTTGCAATAATTCGATAATCGAAATCGTGCTGTAAAGCATCGTAGTGTTGATAATTGTGGTGTTAAGACGTTTTTTTCTTGAAATATATGATTTTTTGAATAGTTATTTTTTATCATTTATATATTCAATTAATATGTGTTTATTAATATGATTGAAAGTTTTTTGAGTGGTGAAATATTCTTTTATTTTTATTAAATTTATTTGAGGGTTAGAATTACAAATAACTTATACTTTTATAAAATTTTATAAAATTAAATTTTAGCTTATCGTTTAATTTTAATATAATTGATTATTATTTTATTTTAATATAATTAATTAATATATAATTGATATAATATATTTAATATATTTATAATATATACAGGATTTATCGTCGAATTATCGAACATATCGAATCTTTTTCTGATTTCTATTTCGATAATCGAAATCGTGGCGTCATTGTGGTGTCGATAATTATAGTGTTAAGACGCATCTCTTTTTCTCGAGGTATGTAATTAGTTTTTCGAATAATTTTACTTGCATAGTTATTTTTTCTTATTCGTACATTCGCGTAGTCAATTAATATTTATTTATTAATATAATTGAAAATCTTTTGAGAGCTAAATTATTCTTTTTTTCTTTATTCATACATTTGAGGGTTAAAGTTGCAAATTAGTCATATTATGACTTTCTAAAATAATATTTCAGCTTGATTATCGTTTAATTTTGATATAATTAATAATTATTTTACATTAATATAATTAATTAATATAATTGATTATTGTATTTATATTATATATAAGACTTGTTATCGAACTATCGAACGTATCGAAACTTTTCCTGATTTCGATAATCGAAATTGTGGCTTCATTGTAGTGTCGATAATTGTGGTGTTAAGACGCATCTCTTTTTCTCGAGGTATGTAATTAGTTTTTCGAATAATTTTACTTGCATAGTTATTTTTTCTTATTCGTACATTCGCATACTCAATTAATATTTATTTATTAATGTAATTGGAAATTTTTTGAGAACTAAATTATTCTTTTTTCTCTATTCGTACATTTGACAGTTCAAGTTGCAAATACGTCATATTATGATTTTCTAAAATAATATCCCAGTTTATTTTGATTTATTATTGATTTATTAGTATTTATCGTTTAATTTTGATATAATTGATAATTATTTTACTTTAATATAATTAATTAATATATAATTGATTATTACTTTTATAGGACTTGTTATCGAACAATCGAACATATCGAATCTTTTCCTAAATTCGATAATCGAAATCGTGACGTCATAGTAGTGTCGTTAATTGTGGTGTTAATACGCATCTTTTTTTCTCGAGGTATGTAATTGATTTTTCGAATATTTTTACTTCCTTAGCTACTTTTTATCATTCGTACATTCATACAGTCAATCAATACATGTTTATTATATATAATTGAAAGTTTTTTGAGTGGTAAATTATTATTTTTTTTTATTCATATATTTGAGGGTTAGAGTTAGAAATAATTTATTTTTTGACTTTTTAAAATTAAATTTCAGTTTAATTATTATTTTATTTTAATTTAATCGACCTATATAATCAAATCTATATATAGATTCATTTGAAAGTCTTATTTTATACAGATTATACAGATTATTGGCTACTTGCTGGAATAACTTTGGCGGGAAAATTTTCAATATGGACGCTATCATGCTTTTCCATGAAGATGCAATAAAATTTGATATTTCGTATGTATACCATTTATCTATACATATTTTATTTTTATTGGATTGTTATTGATCGTTGTTAAGTAATTCATAATATATAAATAATTCATAATATTCTTTTATATTCTATCTATTTATAATATTTCTTTATTGAAAAATTTGAAATATTAGTTTCAGAAGAATAATATTGTCTGAAACAAAATGACTGGATAGAAAGGAGAAGAAAAATATTGAAATAATATTTTCTTCCTTTTTTTTATTGTACTCCTCTTTATTAATTTTATTTTCAGAAAATTTTACCGCGCGCAATGCGGTCGATAGAGTCAGTGGTTAGTTCGTAAAAGTATTTTCCATATTCTTTAGAGCACAATTGCTTCAATTTAATTTAATTGTAACAGTTATTCGCGGAATTAAAATCAGTGTTGGTTTTAACTTAAACGAGCGAGTTAGTAGTCTTTTATTTATTTCTTTTTTTAATTATTCGTTTTTGGTGTAGAATAGAATCAGTATATCAAGAAAAAAAGGCGATCATCCATTACGCAAAGAAGTAATTACCACTTTATCTTTCATTTTAACTAAATTTTTATTCTTTCATAAAAATAGAATTTTTATTAAAGTTTCAATTTCATTTTTTATATTAGATTTTCAATTTTTATCGTTACTAGAATTTATTAGAATTATAATTCTTTATTTTATTTATTTATGTTATTTTAAAATTTGCTGTATAATCACTGCTGTGTTTTGAAGAACAATACTACAATGATAATTTATATTTTGTTAAAGGTGTCTTTGCTGTTTTCTGCTGGATCTCAATCTTGAGTATTTGTGACTGCGAGCAATGCAGTCGATAGAGTCAGTGTTTGTTTCGAGATAGTATTTTCAATATTTTTTAGAGCACAACTGCTCTAATTCAATTTATTTATAATAGCCATTCGCGAAATTAGAAGCTGTGTTTTTTCGTGAACTATAATTTAAACGCGCTAATAGTCTTTTATTTATTTTTTTTTAAATATTCGTTTTCGGTACAGAATAGAATCAGTGCTCTTTTCAAGAACATATTGTATCCATCACGCGAAGAGGTAATTATTTTTCTATATTCTATTCACTAATATAGATTTTTGTCCTTTC